TGACCATCTTTCTTAAGCAGGTTTCACCTTCAAAGCAAAATAATGAACACTCTCATCTTTACTCTGTGCTCAGCACTGTTCTTAGTATCTGAAAACTTCATCCTCAAAGTGCCACTGCTGTTTCAGTTTTCATAAGTGAAAACATAAGTGTAAAATGATTAAGGAGCCGCCAGACCAGATGAATAAGTGGGCCTCTGGAAGGAGCCACTAGGCTAATGTCATTCCATCTCACCTCAGAAAGAATGGCTATCATCAAAGAAATCAACCAATAACAAATGCTGGCGAGGCTGTGGGGGAAAAGGTACTCCACTGTTGGTGGGAGTAGACTGGGGAAACCACTGTGGAGCTCAGTCAGTTTATCCACTTTCAAAGTGAAGCCATCAACAAGTCGCTACACCCTTCATAACTCAGAACATTCTATTTTGTAGTCATGTCCCACCAATTTCTTCTTCCAACTGCCTCAGATGAAGGTCCCTGTTATTCCTGAATTCACAAATCCTCAATTCTTATGCATCTATTTACTTCCCTCCAAGCTACCCTGAAGTTACTACACTAATCTTCTTGAAGTACAACTGTAACTACATCACATATTCATTCATTTTTACCATGCACAAATATTGATGATTGCTAGGTACCAGGATCCAGGTTCAGTGTTCAGGACAAAGACATGAAAATACACAGATCTTGTCATTAAGAAATCTGGGATTACTCGCCTTTGCTCATTGTTTGGCCAACAACCTGTCTGGGACATAAAAGCATAAACACAGATTCCAGTGTATGCATGTAAAAATAATGATTCTCATTTTTGGTTGAATGCTTTCTATAAATACCAGATACTGTTCTAAGTTCTTTACTGATTTGCTGCTCACAACGATCTAATGAACATGATGCTTTTTGTATAGGAAGGAATGAAGGCCTTATAAGATTAATAATATATAATAGGGATTTGCATAGAGAGAGTGACAAAATTAATGTCTGAATCTAGAGTAGAAATTTTTCATCTCTATTTTATTAATCAAGGGTGAATTAATGACAGTGATTTAGTGAAATCTAAAATTAGAATTTAGTGAATTCTAAAAGGCATTTCTCATGTGAAATAATTGAAGGGAAAAGAATGATTATGGAAATAGAACTTTTACAAATGGAAGGGGACCAAGATTTGGAAAGATTAAGGAGGGTGAGGAGGTGTGGAGGATGAAAAAAAAAGAATTAAGATGTATCATTTACATGTACCAACTCTACAATAAATGTAAAGACTGTGTGCTGTGAGCAGGTACTACAAAATCACCATGAATACTATAGGATCACTCGAGAAGCACAGGTGAGTCAGGGAGCAAATTTTGAAACATCTCCTCTCTTACACATTTCACTTCAGATTTTGGGACAAGATACTGCTCACCCTCAATGACTGTTCTTTTTGTTACCACATCCCATATTTAATACAGCCCTAATATGTGCCAATAACAGTCATGCACACTTTACATAGATGATATGTTCTCTTAGTAACAAATTGTGAAACAGAGGATATGATCCCCATATTACAGATGTAGTGACTGAGGTTTCAAAAAGAGTTAGGATATGTACAGGCTCGCATGTATTTTAAGTGTGTGAGCTTGGCTCCAAATGCATCTACCCAGCTCTTAGGCTCATAGTATTTCCACTGGGCTGTGCTCTTCGTTACAGTCTCTCTTCCTGGAATTCCTTGCCCAATTAATTTTCTCCAGCAAATCCACTTTCTACAGAATTCCTCATGTCAAAGATAGTTTCATATTTTGTGTTCTGATGTCAGATTTGTAGTTTATGCTAAACTGTGACATTGAAAATATCATACCTCATAGTATCATAATTTGACTAAAGGAATCAGAACTTTTTTCTACCCCAAAAGGATCTAGCAAATATTCTTTAATGGAGTTGCTAACTAAACTGATGAATTGCTTCCAGAAATTCTCCTGTGTGGATGGTTAAAAGAGCTCTTGGAAAAAGCTATCAGCAACCAAAAACTTCAAGCATTCCCTTAACTTCTCAGTGAGTCTGCACTCTTAAGTGGCACCACTCTCAGAACCCATCTGGCCCCCTAAAGTCTGAGTTCTCTCAACCTGGAGAGATATAGAATCTCTGAGTTTTCAAAACCCAAAAAGGAAAGTAACTCAAACTTCTGCCTATGGATAGTGGTGGACAGAATCCTTTTATTCCTTGAAGAACTTGTGTGGACTTTGAAATGACAGTCCAGTTTCTCAAAGGAGCACTGCTAAGTATCATGCCATTTAAGAAAGCTTTGATAGTATCCTAGCTCTACTAAGTTGAGTGAGATAGGTAAGCATGAGCATTGGGCTGAGACTCAGGTATTGATTTAGCCAGATGAAATGGGCTAATTTTCTAGCATCGCTGAGATCACAGAGTTGTCCCAACAGTCACATAATCTGTTCCTCTTCCCCTGACACACACTCTCTCTCTTTCTCTCTCTCTCTTTTACAAATACACACACACACACACACACACACACACACATGCATTTTTGTTGCTTCTCATTCTCTTTCTGTCTCTCATCTTCATTTCTCATTCTTGCTCTCTGTCCTGTCACTTACTCTGCTTTGTTTCTTCTTGTGGACATCATTCAGGCACTCATTAAACTTCCTGAGTTTCCTCTCTTGTGATAGAAAACAAAGCCGTTGACTCTGCTT